ATGCATTTCTGAGTTTCTAAACTTTTTCTGTGTTGCCTGCTGACCTTTGTGTGTCATCTGTGGCTTCCACAAAACTCCCCCGAAATTCCCATTTAATTTTTCTTTCCGACCTGCAATGTATCAAAACCATGATGGGCAAAGTCTCGATGTGGAAGGGATAGCTGTTACACTTAACAGTTTAGCTTGCTCGCACCAACATTGGTCACACAGAAGATAATCTCAAGTAGCTAACAAATCTCTTTATCAAAGTAAGCAGTAAATAGAAACCTGGAAAATTACAATGATTCATCTATCCAGATTAGATTAGACCAAACAACACATAGTTGTTAATGAGTTCTTTAGCTGGGAGTGAGATAAGATCTCAGCTCAAAGTGAAAGATTTTGAAGTCTTCACTGAGCAGTCTGTAGGATTGTAAATATTGGAAGTCAAGGAACATTTACAGATCTGAACCTCTCTTAACCTACCTCTTCCCAAATCCTTCAGCCACCAGAAGACGTCCCTTTAAGCAGCATTATATGTCACTCTGTGTCCTCATAGCCAATCAGAAATCTCATCTTCTTTCAAAGACAGATTCACAAAGCTGTCTCTCAGAAAACCACCCAAAGCTTGGGCAGAAGGAGGTGACATAAAGATGGAGAAACTGAGGCTGAGACAGATTAAGTGCCTTGCCCAAGGTCGAACAGCTAGTGAGTGGAAGAGGCAAGACTCAAACCCAAGTCTTCTGACTCCAAATCTGGCAGAGTTTCCACTGAACCACCCTGATGCTTCTCCAACACTAATCTGTCTCTCGAACCAAAGCCCAAGTTCCTGGATATATGCTAAAGTGACCATTTTTCCGAAACCACGTAATAACACCAACAATAATAGTAGCTACCACTTATATGGTGCTTTAAGGTTTGTGAAGCACTTTATGTATATGATCATCATGACTTCTTTGGCACAGAAAAATAGAGCTGGGAGCTGAGCAGGACTGGTGTGTGTGTGTGTGTGTTGGGGGGGGTTATTGCAGAACTAGAGAAGGAACTTTTTCTGGGAAGAAATCCTTGGTTTCCAGTTACCAAGGGAACGCATGGTATTAATTCACTTCAGGGTCAATAGCCACTTTGTTAGTCTTTGTGGGTTGTTTTTCTAGAAATATGGAGAGAACAGAATTACAAAAACAGAATGATGATAGCCTGCTGCTATAAGAGCTGCTTGATGTACCCAACAGCCTCTGGTTTTTCCCATGCTTCTTCATGCTACTTCTTGCCTGGGCCCTCACTGCTGTTTGGCAATTCTTTTATGCCTGTCTGGGTCACAACCTCCACAGCAAAAGTTCTTGGATCCACAGAGCCTGAATTCTACTCTCCCTACCTTCTTTCAGCTAATAACCCCATCTTCTATTTTACTGAGAAGATTATGGTCATCAGTTGTGAACTCCCTCAACTTCCCTCTTCTCCATCTCAAAAACCAACAAAAAACCCAAAAGCCCCCTTCCAGATTATGCCCTATGTAGTCTTGAGCAAATTCAGTTGACCTCCCTGGGGCCTCAGTTTCCTCATCTGTAAAATGAGGAGGTTGGGTTTGATGGCTTCTGAGATGCTTTCCTACTCCAGATCTGTTTTCCTATAATTTTAAGATCCTCTGATCTTATGATTCTTCCTTCCTCCTGGGTCAAAGGAATTAATGTCTCTTCCCTGTGAATTCAATTCACTTTGATTCAGTTCATGTCAACTCAGCTCACAGAATCACAGAATTTCATACGTGGGTTTTTTTTTTTCTGGTGAGGCAATTGGGGTTAAGTGACTTGCTCAGAGTCACACAACTAGTGAGTGTTATGTATCTGAGGCCAGATTCAAACTCAGGTCTTCCTGACTCCAGGGCCGGTGCTCTATCCACCTCGATGCCCCCAGAATTTCAGACATGGAAGGAACCTCAGATGCCTACCAGTCCCAAACTTTCCAATAAGATTGACCTTTACAACCTACTGGAGAAGTGGTAAGTCAGCCTTTGCTTGAAGACTTTGAAGCAGGGGAGACCCAGGCAGCCCCATTCCATTTTTGGAAACCTCTTTATAAATTTTTAAAATTTTTAAAATTTTATTAATTTATTTTGATTTATCAACAATCACTTCCATATGCTTTTGAGTTGAAAATTTTTCTCCCCCTTCCTCCCCCCATCCTCCCCAAGACGGCGCACAATCTGATATAGGCTTTACATTTACATACCCATTAAACATATTTTCACATTAGTGAAATTGTAAGTAAAAATTAAAACCAATAGGAGGAACCATCAAAAAGATGAAACAAAACTCAACAGAAGGTAAAAATAAGTGATCGTGATTCAACTTCCATAGTTCTTTCTTTGGATGTGGACAGCATTTTCCATCCCGAGGCCTCTGCAGATACCTTAGATCCTTGTAATGCTGAGAAGGGTTCAGTTTAACAGTATTTAGTCATTGCATAACGTGGCTGTTATCATGTACAAAGTCTTCTTGGTTCTGTTCACTTCACTCAGCATCAGACCATATAAATCTTTCCAGGATTTTCTGAAGTCAGCCTGTTCATCATTTCTTATAGCACAATAGTATTCCATTACATTCCTATACCACAACTTGCTCAGCCATTCCCCAATTGATGGGCATCCCTCAGTTTCCAATTCTTTGCCACCACAAAAAGAGCTGCTATAAATATTTTTGAACATGTGGGTCCTTTCCCCATTTGTATGATCTCTTTGGGATACAGTCCTGGAAGTGCTAATGCTGTGTCAAAGAGTATGTACATTTTTATAACCCTTTGGGCATAGTTCCAAATTGCTCTCCAAAATGGTTGGATCATTTCACAGCTCCTCCAACAATGCATTAGTGTTCCAATTTTCCAACATCTTTTCCAACGTTTATCATTTTCCTATTTTGTCATGTTGGCCAGTATGATAGGTGTGATGCGGTCAGAGGCATTGTTGTCTACCCAAACATTCCCTGCTTATATTTAGGAAGCTGATTTCTTTTTGGAACCCTGGTGTAAGACTTCCAATGGACCCCTATTGCATTTTGTCATATTCTATTTGATCCAGTGGTCTAGCCTGTCAAGATCTGAATCTTGACTGTTGCCCAGTGTTCTAGCTTTCCCTGGCAGATTTATATCACCTACAAATGTAATTAACATGTCATTCATGCCTTCACCTCAATCACTGGTAAAAAAAAAATGTTATACAGGACACAGCTAAGCTCAAATTCCCCCGGACTCTAAACTGGAGTCACTCCTCCTAGTTGACATTGAGACATAACTATACTTTAGGTCTGATAATTCAACCTATCCTGACTCCACCTATTAGGCTATCATCTAAGCACACCTTTTCCACAACAATAGCATGAGGAGGTCTTTGGTTACCAAGAGCGACCACTGACCATCAGTTTGTTATTGGCTAATCTAGTTAATAAATTGAATATTAATTACCTAAACAAACAAACAAAAAGAATAGCTTGAGGAACTTTAGTAAATGCTTTTTCTAAAACTTAGGCACACTTGGTTCAGTAGAAAGAATATGAATACATAGTTAGAGAACGTCCATTCAAATTCTGCCTCTGCCCCTTATTACTTGTATGACCCCTGGGCAAATCACTTAATGTTTTGGGTGGAGAATCTGTGGCCTCGAGGCCACATGTGGCCCCTTAGGTCACATATGGCTTTCTAGGTCCTTGGGTGAGGCCTTTTATTAAGGGGATTTGTTCTGTGAAGTTTGGATTCAGTCAAAGGGCCACACTTGAGGCCCTAAGTTCCCCACCCCTGGACTAGATGATCTCTGACCTGCCTTCCAACTCTCAATGCATACTTTTATAATCCTAAATTTATAAGCATTCCCTTGATCTACCAGAAGATTAATCCTGTTAAAAAAAAAAAAAGGAAATAAGGCATGTGATGTGGTCTCCATGAATCCATGCTGTCTTTTTGTGGTTACCATTTCTTTTACTAGATGTTTCTAGATGTTCACTTTAATAAGATATTCTAAAATTTTTTCATAAATCCATGTCAAGTCCTTCATTCCTTTTTTCCTTCCCTCCCTTTGGCAACTTTTGTCATGCTTTAATTCATGGCATGTGTCCACTCTCTGTGACCTGTGAGAACACCTTTCAGTTTTTTCAGTGTCCTGAAATGTTGTTTATCTGAGCCTGGACACTTGAACTCACCAAAGATAGTGAGATGCTACTTTATTCTTCCCTTTCTTATCTTGGACATCAATTCCCTATTACACACTTTTATTCTGTCCCTTCTGATCCTTAAATCGTTCTCAGTAGAGAAAACAGAAACAAAATAAGGACTGAGCAGCTTGACTTACTCTCTCATCAATTATCCATTTTATCCCCATTATTAGCCCCATTTACCCCCAATTATCCATTATCCCCATCCATTTAAGACATCAGTCTTATTTCTTCTTTGGTCCTCCTCTTTTCCCCAATTTAGCTAAAATTCTGTTTTTGTCATCCTTAGCTTTCCTTGCCAGTCTCAGCTCACTGCTGATATTATTTCTGCAAGACTGTATCATGCTTTTATACTCATCTACATTTACTGGTATATACTTCTATATTCTGTAAATCTTTTACAAATCAAAGTTGATAGGTGAGTCCTCTGTGTAGTCAGTCACATCTTTAGACAACATCCCTCCTTTCCTAACCTCTCTTAAAGAATTTATGTTTATGCTTCAGTACAATAAGACAAATATTTCTTATGTACCTTCTGTGCACCAGGAACTTTGAAAGATACAACATTTAAATAGTAGTTTCTGCTTTCATGGAACTTATCCTGCAGGGAACGTAACATATAAAAATAATATTTGTTGCCTTCTAGCACCTATCCCAACCTTTCCAGGCTCCAAGTGACTAGTGGAGCAAGTGCTGAAGGATGAATATTCATCTCCTCCAACCTTCCCACCAGTTTCACCTTTCCCATTCTTGGCAGAGAGTCCCTTCCCTGAAGATCTATACCCATTCTACTCAAGCCTACTCCTTCCTTTCCAGTGATTGCCCCTCTGGGCTCCGGGTCCGTGGCTACTCACACAGATTGGATGGAGACTGGGAAGATAAGGTGATTCCAGACTGTGGAGGACCTTGAATGTCAGGCCAAGAAATCTAAACTTTACACGGTGAGCAATAGGGAGCTACTGCATGTTTTTGAGTAGAGCAGTGAAATGATTTGCATGTTTCTCCCCCTCTAGAATGTAAGGTCCTTGAGATTAAGGATTGTTTCATTTTTGACTTTACCCATTTTGACATATCCAGTGTCTAGCATTAGTGCCCAATACATAGTGAGTCCTTAATAAATGCTTGTTGATTGTTCATAAGATTTAGTGTTGGAAGGGCCCTCAAAGGCCATCTAGTCAACCACTCTCATTTTGTAGATGAGGAAACTGAGAACCAAGAAAGCTAATGCCTTGTTGACGGTCACACAGGTAGTAGGTCTCAAAGAAGACATTTAAACCCAGGTTCTCTTTCTTCAGGACCATTTCTCTTCCCACTGTATCACTTTTGATGATCAGATTAAAAATAATTAGTGTAGCTAAATGTGGATGAATTGGAGAGAAAACAAAATGGAGATAGGAGGTCCAAGACTGGCAATAAGATTTGTACCTGGGCCATGATAATGAGAATAGAGAAACGAAAATGGATGTGTGAAATATCATAGAGATAAATTGACGAGCAAATGAGTGGCCATTAGGGGTGATAAAAAAGGTAGCTAATTTTAAGATTTGGACATGGGAGATTTGCGAAGGCTAAGCCCTCTCTATGTAAATAGAATCACTATCCTCCAAGAAAAGTAGGTTTGAACAGAGCTATATCTAGCACTTTAGCCTGTGAGGCAAGCTTCACAAAACACTGCTGGGACAAGCAGCATGAAAAATGCCCTCAAATCAACATTTTTAGGCAAATTCAGTGGTGGGAGGGGAAATAGGGCCCATATGATATAGAGAGACCACTCTCTTTAGAGGGAACTTTGAGATGTGGGTAGCTGCGAAGAGGAAGCACAAACCGTCTGATAGTGTAATTACTCTTGCTAACTGGGGGCTAAGTTTAGTTGTTTCTATAGTGATGAAGGAATGTGAATACTGCCAGCAATTTTGGTGCACTGGGACCGAACTCTGATCACCCCTCTCTAGTTAAAATTCTGCTGTAAATTCCAGTAATTTTTTACTTTCCTAAGGACAGTGATAAGGCCCATTAGGAACCCTCCCTACGACCCCCCTTTTTGGCTGCTGCTCAGTGCTAGTCACATCAGCAGATGCTCAGTAAGCATTTGTTTAAAGAATGGTCAGGCCAGTTAGAATGGCACTTGTCAGAGACCCTCGGCAGTTTTCGATTGGAGTACAAGGCCATTCCTTCCTTTGTTATTCAAATAAGTAGGAACCACTTCCAACTTAATATTTATAGCACACCCCGTCTGGAGTTGGGGATATTTTCCCTGTGTGAACATGAACAATGAAATGAAGGTTTACAACAGAGTTGCTGAACTCCTCCTTTGGGAACAGGTATTAGAAAGCTCTGCTCTGCCAGTTTCTAACTCTGTTGCTATGTGAAGGTCATTATAGAAAACTGCTTGGGAGTAGAAGGAATCAGATGATGAACTCAATCCTCATCAATATTTATGTGTTTTGAGTGAAACCGTAGTCATATGCTATCTGGCACATAGCCAGGAGGTGGCAGTGTTGGCTCTACTAGTGCTTTGGAGGTAGCCAACACTAAACTTTAAGGGAGAAGGGCGAATTGATCCATTTCCAGTATGACAGCTTAAGGCAGAAACCTATGTAAATGATTTTTGGTAAACCACTATCGTATCTGAGTCACTAATCACCTTTATTAATAAGCTTGCCAGAAATTCATCATGGACTTTGGATAATATAGAGGGACATATATGACACCTAAACAAACATTTTTATTTACTTAAATGACTTTCAGTCACAACCTGGGTCTACAGATGACATCAGATATCTGGGTGAAAACTAAAAAAAAATTAATCAAGTACTGGGTTTTTTTTTTCTTTAAAGAATCAGCTCTATACATGGAGCCTTTCATATAGCAGATACTCATGCAATCACTGTTGAAGAGCTAGATGTTGAGTAGAACTATCACCTAAATGAAACATTGGATTGATTTTTTTCAATTCTCATCCATTTCTTTACTGTCCAACAGAATGTGACAATGAAAGGTGTATTAGGCAACCAAGAGACAACTCTGAAGAATACCTAGAAGGTGTTAGGTAGAGTCCTTCATAATAAGGTACCATAAAGACAAACATAAGCTAATTAGAATAAGAACTGTGTCATTACAAAAAAAAAGCAACCCCTCCTTGAATGAAGTAACAAAGCAATTTCTTAACCTCCGAAGACTCCAAATCCCTCTCCTGCACCCTCCCCACAAAGTATTTATAGTTGTGTGCTGGGGAAGAAAAATTAGAAAAGTTTTTTTTTTTTAGTGGGGGGAAGGGTAAGTTGGCATATTAGGAGGTGAGGAATGGGTTATAGGGAGTATATATGATAAGAAAGGAATTCAAGGTTGTATTAAGGTTGTATTTATCACCTGGAAAGTTGTTTGGGGATAATTGTGTATAAAAACCGGTAAAGGAGAAAAAGATAATAGATTATATTATATTAGAGTCCAGGGAAATAGACACCAGATGAACCATAACTGGAGTGGGTCTTTGTCTGAGGTCTTTGAGATTTAGGGGATGGAAAATTGTAAATAATGATTTTAAAAGATGATGTACTTTAAACATTTGTCACATTAGTTAGCTAGGTGGTCCTAGTACATAGAGCACTAGATGCAGAGTCAGAAAGTTGTTGTTCATTCGTTTCAATTGTGTCCAACTCTTCACAACCTCATTTGGGGTTTTCTTGGCAAAGATACTGGTGTGATTTGCCATTTCTTTCTCTAGCTCATTTTACAGATGAAGAAACTGAAGCAAACAGGGTTAAGTGACTTATCCAGGGTCACACAGCTACTAAGTGTTTAAAGCTGATTTGAAATCAGGAAGATGACTCTTCCTGACTCCAGGCCCAGCACTCTATCCACTGTACCACTTAGCTGCCCTAGAGGCAGGAAGACTTGAGTTCACTTCCAGCCTCAGCCACTTGCTAGTAAAGTGATCCTGGGTAAATTACTTAACCTCTGTCTGCCCCAGTTTTCTCAACTAGAAAATGGGAGTTATAACAGCATCCACTTCATAGGGTTGTTGCGAAGATAAAATGAAATGATATTTGTGAAGCACTTCACAAACCTTAAAATGCTACATAAATCCTAACTATTATTATTTACATGTTGACAGTAATTCTATTCAGCCGCTCAGAAATAATTGAGCTAACCAACTAGTTAGCAAACAGTTATTCTTTGCATCCTCCAGCAAGCCCAGTGCCTTGCACAGAGTTGGAACTTAGTAACTGCCTCTGGATCAGGTTTCTTCCTATCAGTGGCCAGGCTTCATGGAAGATACTCTCTTATTTGGTCTTGCCTTACTTTTTCCTCCATAATCTGAAATAGTAGCCTTTCCAGCTGTGGTATCCTCGAATGTCTGTTTTCTCCAAAGGGCAGCAGGCTTGGATCTCTCCTTCATGGAGCTGGTATCTTGTCTTGGGGTTTCCCAATCCACTCTTAGATACCATTTTTACATCATGAATCACTAAGGTAACTTGGAGGTATACTTCAAGGTGCTTGCCTGAGGCACCAAAATCACTAATTATTGTTCTGGTGAGAGTTGGCTATTAATCTGTATTGAGTCTGTGTTATGGGGGTAAGATGGCTAAACACTTTTATTTTTGAATCTCAAAGCACAAGGCTGCTTGAATCTTGCATGAAAATAGAACAGCTGACCTTATGTTTTTGAATGATTTCATCCCTAAACTTTGTAATAACCTTTCCCAGGGCCTCACATGGTTTTTGCTTTGTTTTTTGTTTTTTTTTACGTTGCTTTATATACATCCCTTATAACTTATCATGTTACGTTGTGTCCTTTAATTAGCTGTGTTTGTGAAATGTTTTCCTACAAGACTGAAAACTTAATGTGGGCAAGGAAGGAGTCTTTGCTAATTTTCTTGTCTTCCTCTCTGCCTAGCAGTGATCTGCACAAAATGAGAGCTTAAGAAACATATGCTTGTTGATATACATTAGCAGCTTGTTTTCCTGTGCTTGTTATTCTAGGGTAGTAAGACATCCCATGCCATTCCTTAATATCACAGCACAGGAAGATGGCTTCTGTTGGGGAGCAATCAATGTGCATTGACATGCTGCTAGGAAACGATTATTCTGTTTTAAATAAGTGTCCATGACTATAGCAGGATGAGATAAGCAAGACAGAGAAAAAGAGACTGATTCCTCTTCAACATTTCAGATTTTCAAGGCTTTTTTCTTCCAGCTCCGTCATTGATTCTTTAAAGAGGCATTAAAAGAAATCTTGATTCAAAACACCTGACATAATTAAACATATTGAATGGTCCCTGAGGCTTGAAAAACAAATTCAGAGAAAGCTATGTATAGAAGAGAGATGAGGTACTTGATTTTCATCCATCAATGTATTTTAGAGGAGCCCACAAACTATTGGTGGGTCTTTATAAAGAGCATTGAAATTAGTTATAATCATATGTCGAGTTTTATTGTGTCAATTATATATATATATATTTCTTTTTCTAGGGGATAGAATTTAGATTTTTCAGAAGTTTGGCTGGTTTCCTCATGGAAATTGCTTTATTTTTTAGAGCTGTGGTATAAATGAAAGAGGCCTGGACTTATTGTTTACCAGATCTGAGTTCTAGCCCCAGCTCCACCTTATAGTAGCTAAGGAATCATGGAGAAGTCACTTTGCCTGTCAGTTCTTTCAATCTGTATCATGAAAAGGCGAGATTAGTTCAAATATCCCTGACCTGGGGCACACAGGTATGTGGGTAAACTTTAGGTGATCCATGAGTTTGGGTGGGGAAATATTACAACTTTATTTCAATATAATTTATTTTCTTTGTAATCTTATGTATCTTATTTTGTTCATTTTAAAAACATTCTGAGAAGGCTACTATAGACCTCACCAGAGTACCAAAGGGGTCTGTGTCACCAAAAAAAGTTTAGGAACCCCTGGATTAGATGATCTTTACAATCTTCTCTAACT